TTAATTATTATTATTATTATTATTATTATTATTAATATCATATTGCGTGACATCATATGACAAGAGGACGTGCCAAGTGGGGTCTAGAGGTCGTATTATACAGTAATACAAATATGACATGCATGATAATGACACGATAATGACACAGCAGTTAATTTTCCCTGCTGTACATAGTTCTAGTATTGGTATTTTGAGAGAAAACAACCATGAAAATCTCATTGGATGATATTGCCAACTTCTTTTTGTGCGCTCTCTAATTTGTCTCCCATCATTTCTGAGCCTATGCTCTTCTTGGAGTCTTTGAAATCGTTTTCTATCACGCTAATATGTGAAAACCGTCATCTTTGACTGGGTTCCCATAAACCTATTGACTAGCAAGGTAGATCTAACTTCTAGAGAATGCTAAATTGCATTCAGTCTCATCTGCTTAAACAACTGTATCGCACACCGAAGCTGCCGAGGTAATTAAATTTCGTGCAAGCTTAAAAAATGGCAAGAATTTCCATCGGAGATAGATCGATCCTGCTAATTCGAATGGGTTATGGGAATGGTCCCTTTGTTGTTCTTACCTCCTAAACCTGTGCATTCTAACGCCTGGGCCGCCGCTGTTCTCATCCAGGTAGGTCACATTTAAACGACCGTTCTGCAGATATCTAGACTCGTCGTGTGTAGACAGCAGGGTGACCACTAACTCCCACCAATTTCCATTTAACTGTAAACAACAACAACAACAACAACAACAACAATAATAATAATAATAATAATAATAATAATTATTATTATTATTATTATTATTATTATTATTATTATTATTATAAAATATGTCTCAAACATCAGATACTTTTAACTCGGTAATGGATTTGTATTTCGCAGTGTTTAAGTCTTTGGATTAAGAACGAAAATAAACAGTTTTAAAAGAAAAAAACTTTTTAATCTATGCAAAGACCTAACATGCATAACACAGTATGCCTTATATGGAACGTACCTTACTCATATCGATATCCTGGTTAGGAGAAAGGTTGCACTGGTCAGGGAATGGCACGAGTCTGCCACTTTTCCTAGACGACACCAATATAACCACACTGCAAGCAACCAGCAGAAAGAGTAACCTGGACATCATTGCTGTCATGTGGTGTACACGTATTTAGGCAGTAGCACTTAGATAAGCAGACAAAACTTGATACCGTGCGCTGTAAAAATAGTGCCTCGATAGTTTGCTCTCTCGGGTCCACAAAAACAATTAATACAGAACCGTCGCTTTTATGATTAAATATTCGGTACTTGTGCGGTTAAGTCAACCGGCATGCCCTTTTATACATAAACCGTGTATTTCCTACCCTTGACAGTTCAACCTTTACAGGGATAACCGGTTATATGGTTTCTATTAATAAGCTTTGGTTACTGAGCCAATGGTATCATTCCTTTCAACACTTCCTCATCCGCCCATTTGATGTGACCCAGCCAATGTCAGCCTTGGTTTAATAGAACCCTTCCCTTGGGCCGAAGTTACAAAGAAATTCAATTAAGCCTTACTGTTTCTGTCGTTTTGATCCAGAACAGAGCAAAATGTTGGTCTGGAATCCTTACATTAAATCAAGCAAAGAGTCTAGGGCCACACAGTGCAATGCATTTAAAACCAATTATTTTTAAAAAAAGAAATAATCTTGTCATTACTAAGAAGAACATCGTTAGTCATTTTCAGAGAAAAATAAATAATGCAAAAGCCACTCTCAGAGGGGAGATATTTCTACATTTTTATCAAGTCTAGACATATGATTGCATATCTGAAAATGAAATAAAAACATGCATTCCAAATTGGATAATTACAGGGGAAACTTTGCGATGCAGGCACATATACAGTTTTAAATTAAATCTGTTTGGTGTGTTCGTTTGTAGGCCACTTTTTTAATTGCATCACTCACAAAACAAATTCGCCAAAACATTTACCTGCAGAATAACGTGGTAAGCAGCTAGTCTAGGTTTGTGAAGCTATAACGAGAAAAAATTAGAGTAATGGTTTCCAGACAATATTAAATATTACCGTGTGAACTAAGGATGGCAGTGTTGAGACCATACAAAACAGTATGTTTATGCTAAACAATATTTTTTCACCAGTAAATGTTTATCTTTAAATATTCATTTGTAGAATTAATAATACAGAGACCGGAGTGGTCTCCAAATTTAAGCTTATTGAATTACTGATAAGGAAGACAAGGATTTGGCTACACCATTGAAATTTGTGATTATCCATGTGACTAATGATGACCGCTATTATTCATATATTCTACTCGCTGTCTGGTTTATCCATGCTGATATATTGGATCCATATTATGGAAACATTTTAAGTTTTACGGTGCTGCTAGCTCTTTAATAATTCTTTAATTATTAATTTAATAATTAATAATTAGTAATTCTTTAGAATTACTGAGATTCGGAAACACGTTTACACATGTAGATGTCATAAGATCATTTAGATTAGCTAAAGATTTATTTAGTCAATAAATATGTAAAATATACAATATCAGAACAGAGCAAAATGTAAGTCTGGAATCGTTAAATTTAATCAAGCAAACAGCCTGGGGCCACACAGTGCAAGACAATTAAAACCAATGCTTTTTTTTTAGAAATAAGCTTGTCATTACTAATAAGAACATCGTTAGTCATTCTCAGAAAAAAAAAATAAAAAAATACACAAACCAATTATATTAACCCAGCTCCACATTCCACTGTTTTGATCCAAAACAGAGCAAAGTAGGAATCGTTACGTTCAATCAAGCAAACGGACTTAGATCAAACCAATTGTTTTTTTTAAAGAATATGCTTGTCCTTACTAAGGCTGTATTCCCAGAGCTTTTAGATCGATCTATCCCCGTGGGGAGTCTCACTAGATTACTGTCAGATAATCCGGCTTAAATGTCCGTCCCGCCTACTACAAGCTGTAAGGGGGTAATTATCTTTCGTGTCCGCTCGGCTGACAGCTATTTAACGTGAACCCCCAGGGAGTTAGGTCGATCTAAAGTAGATCGATTTAATCTCTGGAAATGGGGTCTAAGAAAAACATTTTTAGTCATTTTCAGTGCAAATAACAGAATACAAAATTCACTTTCAGAAGGGGAGATATTGCTACAGTTTTTTATCGAGTCTAGACATATCATTGCTGATCTGAAAATGAAATAAAAATATGCATTGGAAATTGGATAATTACAGTGGAAGGTTTGATATGCAGGCACATATACAGTTTTGATTGACTTGTGTCTGGCACGTTCGTGTGAAGGCTGCTTTTTATTTGCATCCCTCACAAAACAAATAAGGCAAAACATTTTCCTGCAGCAATTAAGTTGTAAACAGCTAGTCAAGGTTTGAGTAGCTATATCAAAGATAAAAAACGATAAAAGGTAGGCTAACAATATGTTCTCCAGACAATATAAAATAGAACCCTGTGAACTAAGGGTGGAAGTGTTGAGAACATACAAACAGCATGATTGTTCTAAACAATATTTTATCACCAGCAAATGTTTATCCTAAAATGCGTATTTATGAAGAGTGAAATAAAAAGGACACTATTGATTAATGCATTATTCGTGTGCTGTGACAAGATCAACATTTTAAAAATTCCCATTAGTATTAATTGTCTGTGTAAGGGTTGAACTGAAATCATAAAGTTTTTCACTGTAAAATAAGACTTCATTTATGCTGTTAAAGTCGGCATTTGATAATTATAATCGTGAAGTAGACTTTAGTTCCAGTTCTCCTTCCTATCCTTATATATTATGTAAATAAAGTAGTATACTGAGCCTGCAAATGTATTCATATCATTTAGTGCCCAATAAACCAATAATTACTATTATTATTATTTATTTTATTTTTCGAAAATGACAATATTTTCTGCTTATTTTCTATGCCTCAAGCACTCGAGGGTTAAAAATGTCCGTACGTTTTATGATCAGAATGTTTTTCTGCTGTCCGAGAAATTAAAGGGACTTATAAGGGAAACTATTCAGGTTTAGGGAATCAGCATTTTCACAAGATTGCGGCCAGTGCATCTACAGAAGGTACATGCATGCAACTCTGTATTGTGTAGAGTAGTTTTCACAAGAATAACTTCTTCGTTTAATCTAAATTTGATTCGCAGGGTGATGTGGCCTGCCCAGAGTTCGGATACAACATAATAGAAAATGTGTGGAATGATATGTCAAAACTTTTGACAAATGTCCGTCCAACCAGCAGACAAATTCTGTTAGATTCAGTGTTTCATGCTTGGGCCAGCATTTAAGCCCTGAATGCATCAGACAATTATATGAATCCTTGCCTCGCAGACTGGCAGCTATTATTAGGTCACCTGGCTATGCCACTAAGTACTAATTTTGGACTTGAAACTGCATATCTTGGAAGAATATATATTTTGTTTTCATTTTGTGTTTTTTTTTTGTGAAATTTGATGTTAATAAAATAATACCAGGAGCATATCATTCCATATCATTTATCTCCCACAAAGTATTGGTTCAGTAGGGGTGACACTTCTATTGTCCAATATATATATATATATATATATCAAAGAAACAACCCCAATCGCTCGGGCAGAGGGCTTCAAAACTGCGCCTTCTGCACATTTTGGTCGCACATTTGACTTATTTTTTCTTGCAAATGATGCACAGAAAGTAAGCATAAAATGTCTGTGAAGATATAATTTTGTCGGAAGAAACTATACTTATATCAGCAAAACTATTTGAATCATTATGGAGGTATTTGGTATACAGTGGCACTTATTTGACCCCGAGTGCTTGACGACTAAACAAAGAAGTATTTAAGTTAGTATTTCTACTTTAGTTATATTTTGATTTAAAACGCATTTTATTAATATCGATTGCAGAGATCCAGATGCTTGTCTTTGAGAGAGAGAGAGAGAGAAAGAGGATGCAACAGAACCAATCATTTGGCACTAGATTCTGTAGTTTTTATTTATCTCATGAGATGATACAATAAAATTCACACATATGATCTTTCGGTCATGTTAGTTGGACAAAATTTCGCCTACTGAAGAATCTCGGACCAAATGGCAGCAGGGGGCATCCCGCAAACTAAAAATAAATAAAAACAAGACGCTGCAGGTTTAAAAAAAAAAGAGGGGCCATTAAATACCGTAACTATAATGTATTCGTCTGTGGGTGTTTGTAAGACTAGTGAAAGGTGGAATGAAGTTGATTTAGAAATTTGTCATTCGATTTTCTGTGAACATTGTAAATTATTTATATAAAATATACCCTACTGAGCTTAAATTCGATCGTTGCTTGAGACCCAAGTGTTGGTAAGATAATTGAATAGTAATTCATCCACTAACTCAATATTGTAGCACACCAAGTCACACCTAGCATGATTTTGTAGCACGCCCTCGGTCACAACTAGCACAATATTAACTAACACTATTTCACGGAGAGTGCCTACTCTTACATACCAGTAGAATGTTCCATTTCCACATACTTCTTTTCTCTCAGACATGGGTCTGAAGAAATACGGTTCAAAATTTTAGCGACGTCTCTAGGGTTGAAGCACATGTACTGGCTCCAGAGGTGGTATGTGCTCTCGTCAAGATCCGGGTAGTAGTCACGGGTCATTATAAAGTGACCATCTGTTTCAATAATATAACTATAGTACATAAAGGTCCCGTCTGAAAACATGAACATATAACCGAAACAATAATATTATATATATGTAAAATCATTTTCAACAAATGTTGATTTTTTGCATGAAATAGTTATTCAGGTGGGAAAGAAGTGCTAACGAATTCAAATGAATCTCAGTATCGTGATAACTTTAAATGATTTTAATAACCACCTCTATACATGTAGGCGGACATTAAGGTTTACGGTGGAAAGAAAGACTTTAGAGCAATATTGGACAACATATCCCCCACCAATACAAAATTTGTATTAACTTAATGAAGATTGTTATGAAATATTTTAGCATTGAATTCCATTGAGATCAAAACTATAGTTGCATGCATAGAGCGCAACCTCTCTGATGCAAAATGTAAATGATAATACAATGATTTTTAAATGTGCATTTTAACCGAGCGTTGGTGGGGCAAGGAAAAAACACAGGTGATATGAAACGATGTCCTTTGGCATTATTGACATGAGTTATACAATGTGAAATTACATACAGTAGTGTCATTTGGTTGCATTTTGCTTAAAAAATTGGCTTCAAATGCATCTTTAAAATACTGCACCGGCATAAGGACACCCTGATATAGTTAATTAGTAAATGGACAGAACTTTTAGAATGCAGGCTTTATTTATGAATTATTAATTTATGTGATTATTATTATTATTATTTTTATTATCATTATTGGCAACCTGAGTTTAAAAGATTGTTGGGAACTCTCCCCTATTATCAAGATTTTCGTATGTTTCCAGAAATTCTCTCAAACATTGAGTAGGCTACATTGCAAAAACTCACCGTCCTTTGTGGCAGCAAGCACTCCTTCCTCTTCCGTTGGTAAAAATGTGAATTCAAGTTCGTCACATGTGTCCTCGTTAGACCAGCTGAAAAACAATTAGAATAAAAGGCGAGTGCATAAAAGTTATTATTGGCTAATGACTTCTTCTATCGCCCAGTGAGATAAGTGACGCATACTCCTCTAGCAAAAAAGTGTCACGTCTATCGCTTTTATGAACATGGCTCCAAGGATACCCATAGCTTTAATTTATTGAACTACGAAAGTGATCATCACTTTAATTGGGGATGTGAGTAATAGAACATTCACCTACTAGTGTGGCCATTGAAATACCCCAACACCAATGAACTTAATACGCGGCTTTTAAGTGTGAGAGATATTTTTTAACCAAGCGGTAGACATTGAAGTGGCATTTTGATTAGCCAAATTGCCATAAGATTGGAGTGATTATATGAACAAAATTGCCTGGGTAAGGCCGACCAAAGGAAATCATGCACACCCAGAAAAGAATGAATACCAACACGCCTTCCTGGTAGAAAAAGTTTCATGACATTTAGGAGTTTGCTTGCTACATTTCTGAGGTGAAATCTAGGGACTAATCCGAGGCCCTATGGTTTTAACTGTGGATCGATCAATTTCAGAGGGGATTTTCACTAAATTGCTTTCAAATTAAGCGGCTTAAATGTCTGTCACGCCTACTCAAGCTGCTAGGGGATAATTCATTATCGTTTAGCAGCAGCTTCAGTAGGCGTGCCAGACATCTAGGCTGCTTAAGCTGAAAGCAATTTAGCGAGAAACCCCTTTGAGATGGTTCGATCCTGTTAGATCAATCTAGGTCTCGGAACCCAGTCCTAGTTTGATTTTTCTCCGAGTCGTATTTTCCTAATGCTCTGTTCTTACCTTCTAAATCTCTGCATTCTTACGGCGGGTCCTCCAGCCAGTAAAGTCGCATTAAAAGCGTCGTTCTTCAGATACCTTGACTCATTGTGTGTAGATAGCCGGGTGATGACCAACTCATACCACATGCCATTTAACTGATAGTAATTATAATGACATCTTGAAAATCACTCGGGGAGAGCGACATCTTTCAAAAAAATAACTAAATTAATTTATGTATCATCACCAAAATCTTATCATTTTGGCCCATTTGTGACCTGTCCTGAATAAATAATTATGAATTATCAACAAAATCTAATCATTTCTTCCTTGGTCCATTTGTGACCTATCATGAAAATTTCATCAAAATCTGTACAAAATTACTTAACATCAATTAATTAACCTTTTAATTATTTTTCATTGCCAAAATTTAATCATTTCTTCTTTGGCCCATTTGTGACCTATTTTGGAAATTTCATCAAAATCAACTCATTACTTTTTCCGTAATGCTGTTCACAGACAAACAAACCCACTAACGACAACATCTAGGGAATAATAATAATAATAATAATAATAATAATAATAATAGTTAATGTCTCAAACTATAAGGTCTCAATTGCACGTTCATATTTCATAATATTCTCGTCGGATTTGGGAAGGATAGACATTTAATGTTAATTTCAATTAATTCTTATCTAAATACCCTTCAAAGATCTAACTCACATAATATGGTTTTGAGGAACTTACCGGTAACTTATGCCTATCAAGATCCGCCATTGGACCAATGGTACACTTTTTAGGAAAAGGCATAAGACTGGTCCTTTTCCAGGACGACACAGAGGTCATCAAACTGCAAGCAGTCAAAAGGAAGAGAGACCCCGCCATATTGCTGTTGTGAGATCCACACGTATCAAGGAAATGGCAGTCTGTGTTATAATCGAAAAGTATAGTACCACGGTAGACGGCTAACTTGGGTCTTGCAGTTCAGACCATACGTCGGATGAGCAATATGGCGCCTGCTCCATTATAACGAGTACGTCTTTTTATAAGTAAATGTTGTAATTCGGGTCCCTATAAAAATGTCTTCAGAATTCAAGCTAGCGAATCATATGGTTTCTTTTTACTGGTTACGGCAGAACAGCCAATGGCAACATTCCGTTCAATACTTCATCAACCGACCGATTGATGTCACCCTGCCAGGTTAAACCTCGTTTCGAAATGACTCCGCCCCCAGGCATTTTGTTCGAGCCGACAACATCCTTCATTTAAAATAACCCCGCCCATTTCTGTCCTGTCGATCCATATTCCAAACAAATTTAAGTCAAAATGCGGTAAGTTCAACAAAAACTCAAAAAGATACATATTGCATACATAGAGGAAACAGGACCCGCATCACAAACAAAACGCTACAAGTTACTATGAGCTTTCACACGCCAGTATTAGAACTTTCCGGTGTGTTATGATGCCGGCACTGTATAATTGAACTGGTTTGTTTCCGTTTCTCTGCAACTTCTGGTTCGAAGTCTATAAGTAATATGTGTACGTCTTTTCCTAAACTATTCAGATAATCTGTTAACAGAATTATCACTTTGGTAAGAAAACAAGAGCAAAGAATCTACAAACAACTAAGGACACGTTTTTCTCGGAAATAAATAGGGAGTATTTTCCATCAGCATTTGTATATGTGTTAGAAACACATCGATAGGTATTTTCAGAGAAAAGTTAACACAAATCTGGTAAGTGCTGCTGTGGTAAGTCATCTGCTGGCCAAGTCTAGACATATGTTTCTTATCAGGAACTGTAGATAAAATATGAAACATATGTTTTAAATAGGGTAGTTCCAATGCCAAGATTGATATGCGGGCACATATACTGTTTAATCAAAAGTGTACCAGTATATGTGTAAAGGCCCATGTTAAACCCACATCACTCACCATAGAAATTCAACAAAGCATTTATGTTTTACCTGCAAAAATTAAGGTGTAAACAGCTACTGTAGAAGAGGTTGATTTGACTATCAGAACACTAATAACACATATGTAGTGTCTGAGCTGTTTCTTATCAAATGAGAAAAAAGTAGATAGATGTGTTCCAGACATCATTAAATAGGACAGCACATGTAGGGGACAGATGCTAATTCACAACAATATAATTGCAGCAGTATTAGTAACTGTGTAGCCCAAACATTCATTCACATACAGATAATATTAATAGGATACTAAGAACAATAACAAACAAACACACAAACAAACAAACAAGGGTGAAAACATAACCTCCTTGGCGAAGGTAAAAACCACGTTTGTGGGCTCTGACAAGATTATCATTATTATTATTATTATTATTAGAGGGGACATTCGCTGAATGCAATCACTTTAACAGTTTACTCGTCCTACTGGCGTTGAGTACAACAAATAAATGCTAGGCCCAGTTTTATAAAGCGTCTTTATCAGAGTATCTTCGAGCATTTATCGGGGGATGTGGCTATCCAGTTGAATAGCCTCTATCCAGGATATAAACTCCCTCAACCCCCCCCCCCCCCCACACACACACACACACATACATAGACTGCCTTAAGAAAGACAGAAAACGTAATTGTCACCGGAACTCCTAGACGCATCTGTATTTGCCATGGGGTGGCTATTGGACGTGAGACCTATTGTTCTAGGTTGTTCCTGATAAAAAATCATATTAAATACTGACATTATTGTAATATACTTATGACTCATCGGTAACCGCCATGTTTTAAACAGGTACAAATGTACGAAAAAAATGAAGTAACATTTGGCTCATTCGGATAATTTTGAAACTAAACATAAGCCGGGTAATTAACCTCTTCACCCTACACCCCATTTCCATAGATTAGATCGACCTACTTTAGATCGACCTAACTCCCTGGGGGTTCACGCTAAATAGCTGTCAGCCGGGCGGACACGAAAGTTAATTACCCCTTATAGCTTGTAGTGGGCGGGGACGGACACTTAAGGGGGATTATCTGACAGTAATCTAGTGAGACTCCCCGCGGTGATAGATCGATCTAAAGTTGTGGGAACAGACCCTTAGTCTAATCCATGATATCTACTTCTTATACATAGTGATTCCGTGAATCACAACACAGTTGGCTATGCTCCGTCATTGCATCTCTGCACTGCAGGAGAAGAATGACTAAATTAACTTTTCTTTGGAAAAGGGAGCGTGTGCCTCCCTCTCCACTACTCTAGGTCCATAAATTATCACGAAATGGTACTGCAACGTTAGAGTACTGAAGCAGGTGGATGTGCAGACATATGTATGGTGCACTGAGAAAAGGAGTGATGGTCAGTTGGAGAGGGGGAGGGATGACCCCAAATAAGTGCATCGTGCATGGGTGTGAGTACATGTATTATGGTTCTATGTCTCATAGCGTCTTTCTACTTTGTTTGCTGTTTGTAGACGAATGCACCCCATCCGCGATCCCCTACAAATACCTGCTCTGGTCATAAAATACCTTTATTTAAACAATATTTAAAAAGAATCGGTTAAGTTGGTCGATCTGACAGATTCGTTTTGACTTTGTGAGAAAAGTTAGTGCCCAGGTGAATTAAACCCGCAAACAAATGTCAAACACGTGACGAGTGGTACAGGTAGGGCTACTGAAACATTGAACGACCATTATGTCTCTTAATGTTGAAATATTAAATTATATACATATGGGCTTGTTTAATTATGCTCATGGCCCGGCATTCGTAAAAGCTAGAGACATCTATTTTCGAAAAAATCAGAGGATCTTAATGTTATTTAAAGTCAATATATTTCTATAAGTCAAGTCTCATTAAATTCTTTGAAATCATCATTATCAAGTCTTTATGAAGGTTATTGCTCCCTGCATGGTTACTGTAAATCATTCGAATACATACGTTGTAACTCATAGACGTCTGATTTTTGTTTCGTCTCGTGTTCTCTTGATTTTACACCGGCTTTCCTGCCACCAGCAGAAGCATATGCATATGAATACTCGTCACTAGATGGCGTCTCAGCAGAGCGAAGTTCTTGATAGCCATTTCTATCTTCATTGGCCTCGCTCATGGCAGATCCATCGATGTATTCGCTTTTGCAAGAGACATGTAATTGTCACCGTAATTCCTGGAAGCATCTGTATTTGTCATGGGGTGCCCATTGGGTGTGAGACCTGTTGTTCTAGGTTGTTCCTGATAAACATCATATTAAATACTAGAATAATTAAAATATTGAAACAGGTTGGGCATAAAAATCAGAAAACTGTTTTGATTATGTTTCCATAGCTAAAAAACAATTCCTACTATTATTTGAAAATAATTATTTGAAAAAAGAAACTATTTTAATCCTTACCTTTTCAACTGCTTGAATTGATTGATTTGACCTAAAATGAATACAGCGGTGGTTTCAAGAAACACTTAGGGATTAAGTGAAGTGAATATTTCTTTTTCATGCATGTGCACATCGATTTAGTACAGTAACAACATTATAAAATGTATACATGCATGAAAGACGTTGAACACAGACTCCTAAACTCCTGTAGGTAATACTCATAAAATACCGCAGAAGTTATTCTTAAAAAAAGCGATTCTTTACCTCTCAGTGCGTTTTATTCTCCGCCACAGAATCACAAGCAGCACACACTGTATGATGTTTAGTATTGCCAGCGCTACTAATGCCACGATGCCAGCTACAACACCAGGGGGAGAGAACGCTCTGAGACTGACCCACTTCGGGGTGCTGCTGATGTTGGCTCCGTTGAGGTTGGCTCCGTTGAGGCAGCTGCAAGTAAGGTGAGTTTTTATACCCGATACAATGAGAGACATGACTTTGGTACTGATCGGGAACTTGCCAGATAATTGAAATCAAATTCTTTCAGTTTTCTTAATCTCCTCACTCGTTTTAAATAAATGTAGTTTTTAAAATTTAAAGATATATATACATTTTTGTGAACGCCTCAGAGTAGCATTCAAAGCATTCAATTTTTTAATATCAAATTTTCTAAATCAAGTTTCCTTTTTTAGCGTTTCTTCAATATGGGGAAACATGCTAGTCATTAAATAATTTTAGGTATAAATTTGTTTCTGAATTTCGTAACATTGTTATAATAACTTACATGTACCAGCAGCAGTATCAGACATCAAACCATACATGTATGTTGTAATATTAGTGTAGGAAGTGGTAATGGGTTTTGAGGAAGTAGGAACAGACTTAGGTGTTATTTTCATAGTTGTTACTTCTAACGTTAGGGTGGCAATCGTTGGAGAAGTTACTTGTGGGCAAAAGACAACTTTACAGTATTCCACAGGAACACCACAGCTGCCAGAGGATGCACCGCTACAGTTACAGAGTACCCATCTGCCATGCATGCACCAATAATAACGTGTGCAATCTGCAGGATTTGGAGCATATGCACCTTCTGTTGCACAGGTCTCGTCATAATATCCACATGGCAAAGCATCTTTTCCTGAAAATAAATAAATTAACGCAATAGTGATACAGACACCGTAAATTTTATTAATCTGGTTACATCACATTTGTTGTTTGTACGGTTAAGCGATATGCATCAAAAAGAAGAATGGAATATTAAACATGCCCTGCACATTATGTACTATAGCTAACAATGCAACGTTATGCGACTTAAATCTATGCATACCATCCAGGCATCCATACTGTACTATATTTACAGGTGCCCCACTACATTTAGTAAGATTTATATTCCATGTAAAACTTACTGCTACTGCTACCTGGCGCCCAATGGGTCACTATAAAGCATATACAAAAAAGGCAGAGGTGATACACTGACATTATTGTAATATAATTATGACAGACATGATACATCGGTAACCGCCATGTTGTCGATAGGTACAAATGTACAAAAACAAACAAGGAAGTGAATTCTAAGGTCAACCCGATAACGTTGAAACTAGATATGAGCTGGGTGCTCAACATCTTCGTCCCTGGTATTTTCTTCCTGTACACAGTGAACATGTGAATGACTGCACCCAGGGCGCTGAGCTCCATTATTGCGTCTCTGCACTGCAGGTGAAGAATTAAGTTTGCTTGTGGAAAAGGGAGCGTGTGCCTCCGTCTCCACTTCTCTAGACCCATGAATAAAATATTTCAAAATGGTAATGCAACGTTAAAGTACTGAGGCAGGTGGATGTGCAGACATGTACGGTGCACTGAGACAAGGAGGGGGTCAGTGGGGGGGGGGGGGAAGGGGGTGACTCCAAATGTGCATCGTGCATAGGTGTGGGTATTATGAGCATGGTGCTATGCGTCTCAAGGCGTCTTTTCACTCTGCTTGCTTTTTGCAAGCGAATGCACCCCTTCCGCGACCTGCTCTGGTCATAAAATACTTTTATTTAAAGAATAATAAAAAATAGAATCTGCCATTTTTTTTTCAGGACCAGGCACAGTTGTGGTGCAGTCGTGACACCTCTTGCGGAGGGAGCTACTGACTGCATGTGAGCGGTGCAGTGGTTTGTTTACAAACAGATGGGTGCACATGTTTAAGTAATGCTGTTTACTTGATGACAATATACTTTTGTGCCATTGGGAGTCAGTGTGTCTGCTGTCCATGGGGATAGGAAATGTTTCACCCATTTATTTTGTTCATGCATTTTTGCAGGTATTCTTAGTATGGCCGTCAATGGGAATTATTTGGTGGTTTCTGCCCTCCACCACGACATCTGAGAGATATTTCATTGTTTAGAAAGCAACGATTGGTGTGTGCCGCGGATCACCAACAAGTTTCAGAATTGCACAGAACACAGTTTACGTAAAACGTACCTCATTTTTTCCAGCGTTAATGTCAGGACAGTCACTGCCACTGCTAGGTGGTATAGCAGTCAGGAACCTCTTCTAAATGTCAGGCAGATCGACCCCCCCCCCCCCCCCCGTCCCTATTCTTCATACCCTCAGGTGTGCCTTACTCTCCCCCTGTTCATATTGTTGAATTAACTTGGAGAACACGTGCCTGTACAAATCTTTTGTTCGCCAACAGCTGTGGGGAAATCCCTTTTCACCCATCGAACTTTATGATTGGACAGTCTTTGTTGAGCAGGTACAACGTAAGTAAATTGACTCCTGAATGAGGCAGAATTATTAAGTGCAACATTTTTTTTCTACTAGATCTTTTTTCACGAATGAATGTTCGTTTTATTTCTCATCAAATACGAAATACAGTAAAATAATAAAAAATATCATATACTCAATTTCACACAGACAAACAACAAACTCTATTAATACACAAAAATATATACAGTGCTTCATGCGAGCCTTGTATTACGTCTTCGCATAACTGACTTAATTCAAAAGATTTTACACATTGTTACCACTTTCAACAATAATGTCGAAAGGTGATATTGTTAAACTGGGACCTTCTGTTGTATTCACTGTTTCACTTCTATCCACAATTGCTTACCTATTTCACCATCAATAAAAAGGTGTTTGACTCTTTCTAAAATTGTCTTACAAAAGCTACAATGGGGGTTATTGACCATTTTGCATTTAAAAATTAAGCTCTTTGTACCCAAAATTCTATGCACTGCCCTGTGAGCTGTTTTCATCTCACTTCCTTATTATTAACAAAATTGTAAGTTTATTTCCATAATATTCTAACACCCATTTCTTGTTTCCATAATGTTCATCATTTGGAGCTTTTCGGAGATCTTTTATATATATATATTATATATACATCTCGCACCATTTTAAATTTTTACTAACCCCATTAATGTTTGGATTAGGCTTGGGATATAGCAGTGGGAGCATTACATTTGCATTCAGATATTTAAGAACAGGCTATAGGAAAGGAAATTGCCCCTCTCAGCCTCTAATATACAGTACATTGTAGTTGGAATATGTATCTTTCACTCATGTATAAGACGTTCTAATGTAACAATCTCCACTTCACAATCAAATAATTCTTGAATAATATGAACTATTATTTTGCAATAGGTAGGCTTGTTATGCATAAAGAGAAAAATTGTAAAAAAAAAAAAAACAATTCAGTATATATACAATATAGTACAGAACCCAATCCCTACTTCCACACGAGTTCAGTCAAGTCATCTTCCTCGGGTTGCCCAATCACATTATTAGCATCGAAGATGACGTCGGAGAGAGATTTAGTATTTATCGTTGTCATCTTCATGTTTTGCAGTAATGAAACCTCGCTTTCGAAAATGGCGATGACGAAGCAAGACGTGGAATCTAGAAAAATCAATGGAGAAAACATGAAGGTACTCAGGAATCACTGCATTTATACTTTACTGAAATGTTGGCCTAAACGATATAAAAACACTTTTATACCATAAGGCTTAATATACACGTATCAATGAGCTGTGTCCATTGTTAAAATTTAATTTTCATTTGGATAACTTACACTATATTTTATCTCAATTATATGCTTAAATATTCATTTTAACACTCTATTTTCATTGTACTTAGTATATCCTGCAAAGAGAGTAAAATAATCCCTTACCGTTATTATTCAATTTAATTATTTGTGTTATGTTGTGCACATCTGCGATATATTTGATCAATATAAAAATTAAACTTTTTACGCACACTTACCTAATATTCCAACGGTAAATGAAAGCTACTACAAGGCCACAAGCCATCGCAGATATGACACCAAGAGATACTCCAAAGGTAAGCCACTGGTTTGAAGAAGTGACGCTTTCGCATTCCCTCTCAAGTCTTCTCAGCCTTCTCTCTGAGCTTGTTTTAGGTCCATTCACGTAGCAAGTGGAGTTGTTGGAGAATATTATCGTAAAATTGGAATGGATGATCCAGCGGAGAAATCCTCTCGCGTCGCAAATGGTGCAGTCCATGGGATTGTTGCTTACGTTCAAAGTAACATTGAAACTCCTGGCATTCATCTTCCTAATGTAGTCCAACTCCGATGTCGAGAAGTCAGTTAGTTGGTTAGTGCTTATACCTATGTATTCTATGGAAAGTAAGTTTCCCATGGTGAAGGATAATGTTGATATTCGATTGTCGCTGAGGTCCAGCCGTTTCAAGGAAGCAAGATAGCCAAAAAAGTCTTTTGGTATTGTGCTGATTTTGTTCACTGATAAATCGAGGATTTCTAAGTTTGGGAGTTGTATTGGATGTAGACCACCTTCAGCAATCAAGGGACCTAAATTGTTTTCTTTCGCGTACAAGTATACCAGAGAGATGAAAGTATTGAAAAAATGTTTGTGAAGGAAGTGAAAGCCGTTAAAAGAAAAATCCAGAAACTCTAGTCTATCTAGGCCATACATTACGGGACAAAATTTGTTTAAATTCAAATTCAGGTCCACTATTCTGAGATATCTGAGCTTGTTTGGGAAGAAATAAACGGATCCCTTTAAAGTGTCACACCGAAGGAAACGATTTACACCGAAGGCCCACCAGCTTGTAGACCAGAATTCGACATTTTCAGGCAAACGTACTTTCAAAATAGGTTCCTCAGGATTCAAGTTTGGTAAGGGACCTTGCTGTGTTTTTTGCAACGAGTTTTGAAATTTGGATGGTCCTAAAGGTAGCTGTGGTCGGCCATACCAAAATGAGTTTGATGGAACATCTTCGACATTCACCATAATGGTTTTGTAAACATTGTAGTCCATCCTTAAAAGAGTTAAGTTTGAAAGTGATAATGCTTTATAATACACTGTATCCCAACCGCTTGGTTGTGTATCATTTTCTAAAAAACGAAGAACGTCGTTACCAGACAAATCTAAGTATTCTAAATGAATTAGAAAATCAAAATTTTGAATGTCAATCTTCATTATGTTATCACGCAGTAATTCTAGTGATTTGAGTGATGTGGATTTCAAACATCGAAATGTGTTAGCGGACAATATCCAAGTTTTATCTTCGAATTCCCCATTTCGCCTCGAGAATATGCTGTTCATGCGAAGTGCTTCAATCGAGGTATTGTTTAGGTCACAGATAAATTTTTCAACCTCTCTGAATGAGATAAAGGATGCTTCCTCTATGTCCAGTGTTTTCAAATGTGGAAATGAAGACATTGTACCATATTCTACGGCGTCAAGACCGCTTCTGATGAAAGCTAGTCGTTCAATAGGACAGTTTTTTAACATGGCAAAAGATTGTTTTCTAAGGTGTACCGGTACTTCAGACCCATGTCCATGAAACACAACTGTTTTAAGTGAGGTGAGATTACTGTAGCCGGGACCAAACGCCAAATTACGCCATGGAAGACCCGGAAAAAACACCTGTTGCAATCGATGTAAGGGAGCTAAGGTTCGGTCTAAATAACCTTGTTGCACCTGCATGGTGACGCTCATTTTCCCAAATATTAGGACTCTCAGCTGCGTTAAATCGTGAAACAACCTTACGGGGAATGTTGCATGATCGAAATTCGTGTCCGGGTGAAGTGGGGACAAATCCAAGTGTTCCAAGTTCCATAAACCTGCAAAGTTCTCCTCATGAAAGTGTTTTATGTTGTTCCCTCCGACATACAGTGCTTTCAGATTTTCCAGATGACTCAATGCATTCGGTGGGATCTCATACAGACCGGTGTAGCGTAGATCCAGTACAGTTGTATTACGTGGTATAGGTATATCCAGGGGCAGGGCACGGAGTGGGCTGTAAGAGCAGTTGACAATTCCCTGTGACAAGGACGTAAAATCACAACGACATGGCTCCGGGCACCTATGTGCCTTGTATCCGCCAATACTAAGAATGATGTTCATCAAACACCACAGATACAGTCTAATGTAACCCTTTCTTGGCATCGTGGAAATTTCTTTTATCGTCATTTTCGGCTTTCTGGACTCCGTACTTGCATGTAGGGCTATTTTGTCAAACACAATTTTTACTAAACTGCTACTAATACTTTCCTCTTCAGAAAGCGCCGAAACACGGCGAAAAGCTTTTTACATGGCAATTTATACCCGAGAGTCGATGTTTATTAACTAAATAAACCTTACACTTGTATTACCTCTCTCTATATATCATATTACTCTTCCGCTTTAGTTATGAAATCGGCCTTGATTGGTTTATACACATGCAGTTCAGTAAATATAGTGCCTTCTCTTGGTTACTTCCCCAATGTATTTTTCTTCCTGCTTTTGTACAGAAACGGCTAACATTTATTATAAAAAGTTAAAGGTCTGCACAGGCTTGAAAATTGCATACTACCTGTAGAATTAAACTTGTGTTTACCTTGTGCTTCTTTGTGTTCACAACCACAAGTTAGTACCCCGCGAGTATAAAGCACCACGGATTTTTATTATTCTGCATAATGGCACTTTTTAACATTGCTGAATACAGAACGTGTTGAAGTAAAGGAAAAATGTGTGAAATAAAATAGGGAGCCTTAACACAAACAAAATCAACGGCGAATGCTTCAGGACAGAGGGTGTGCGTGATGGCACCCACTTCATGAGATTTTTGAAAAAAGGATGTTAATCGTTGCCCTGTTCTCCGCCTCAACCAATGGGGCTATTTCTTTTCCTTCAGTCGGCGTCAATATATACAGTAAAATTTATTTGTGTTGTTTTGCCTTTATTTTTGATTTTTGTGTTGTGGCCTTTACACGCTTCCAAAGCTTCCGAGTTCAAGAGTCAGCATCGGCGAAAAGTGAGTGACATCAATATATGTGTGTGTGTGTGTGTGTGTGCTTCTACCTGTCAAAATTCATGTATTTAAGATAACTTGTACTGTCTCACAATTGTTACAAATCCCCAGGTGTGCTCCCCCCCCCCTGTTCATGTTGTTAAATTAACTTTGAGAACCCGTGCGTGTACAAATCTTTTGTTCGCCAACAGCTGTGGGGAATTCCCTTTTCACCCATCGAACTTTATGATTGGACAGTCTTTGTAAAGTTGGCACAGCGTAAGAAAATTGACTCTTGAATGAGGGCAGAATTGTTTAGTGAAACATTATTTTCCTACTAAATCCTTTTTTTTCCAATTTCGGTGTCCTTCAGTGAGCCCGAAACCCACGCCTAGGGGTCTGCGACCTCCCCCCCCCCCCCCTCTTCAAATAATCCTGGATTAGCCCCTGTTAACTTACCCCAGTATTATTTGTGTTGTGATCCGGACAAGAGGCAATAGAAACATTGCATTTTGGATTCTTGGCCTAGTTTCATCAACACTGGATGGACACTATCCTTTGGATAAAATTCTTATCCTCTGGACAGTTGTCCTAAGTATAGCACCCTTTTTTAACCACTAGCAAGCAATATCGTACACAAAAATAGGTATCTAGTGTTTCGAAATCATCTCTTTACACACAGGATAATTGCCCAGCGGATAACAATTTTATCTTATGGATAGTGTTATTCAAAGTATAGGGCTATCTGGTGTTGATGAAACTGGGCCCAGATGTTTAAAAACAGAAGAGAAAAGGAAGTTTAGGGAAAGAAGATTGCCCCTTTTACTTGGAATATTTATTGAAAGTATAAATACCTTGTGTAGCAGTTGTTTTTTTTTTTTCTTTTCTTTTTTTTTTACAATCGGCAGGGTTGTTATCTATTTTAACAATCCATGTTATATCAGCACCAACAAGAAGTAATTAGCTTATTGTAATGCCAGTAAGGAAGACGAGGATTTAGCTACACCATGGCAGTTTTGATGAATTTTATGGTGACCGTTACTATTCTTATATTATTTTAGCTGTCTGGTTTGGCAGCGCTGACATGTTGGGTCCGTGACACCGAAATATTTCAGGTTTGAGGTGCTACTAGCTAAAGAATTGCTGAGATTCGGGGTTTTTTTATTTTTATTTTTTTTTATTTTTTATTTTATTTTATTTTATTTTATTTTATTTTATTTTATTTTATTTTTCATTTTATTTATTTATTTATTTATTGCACAAGTAACATCCATAAGATAATTAAGATAAACTGAAGATTTATTTAGTCAATAAATATGTAAAATATACAATATTGGGAATAAATTGCCTTGTAAAAGCGTCGCTGTGTTATAATCTTTGTACAGGTAAGAATAAGATAATGATTTTCATGATCATTTATAATATTTACCAACGTATCATTTATTTTCTTACTTTGGAACAAATTATTTATCAAACAGCTGAGTTTAACTCTTGTCAAAAGAGAATCATCAGGCTGAATGCCCACTGGTAAAAAATATTGTAGTCTTGCCATTTACTGCATAGTTGTAACACCAAACTACTCTGGTTATTACACCAACAATGCACGACGCACGAACCACAAAACGCGTGTTTACCATTTACTTTACTTCCAACTCCTAACACATGCGCCCACCAGTAAAAAATAGTTCACAACGTTACATGTAAACACTACATCTCTTCCACTTTATATTTCCTGTAACATTTTCCTGTAACATAGAGTACAAATGCAGTTCTTTTAATTATCCAACAATTAACTACTAAGACTATAATCTTGAAACACAAAAGGACCATGCATATTCATATTAGTTTTTTCTAGTTTCCATCTCAATGTTCCAATAAGCATTCCTCTCCACTGAACTTTAAATCTTAATACAACAAATCTCAATAATAATTTCTAGCAGTCAAGTGCTCAGTTAAACTGGTATTAAAGCTCTAAATGAATGACAGGCCTTTTTTACAGTCAACTTTTTACAGTAGGTTTTCACGGAGTTGATTTATAATTTTGTATTTCTTCCCTTTTAAAACAGTGAAACATACTGGTAGAGAACAAACAGTAACATTCTATCAGGGTGGACTACCTAATACAGGGGTAAAGTACAGTAGACATCTTCACAGCATACATAAACGATACACATACTGGCATATTACCATAAATAATAATAAATATAATAATTAATTATAAAAAATTAACCGAAGGAAAACGTACATGTGTGCTTTTTGTTCTTTTATACGCCTTAGATTACGCAGTATATCTCTATCAAACTCTCAATACATGAACTCCAGATTACTACCCTGTCTTCAATGTCTTCGCCCCGCTGATCCCACCGCCGCCACCATTTCGCGCCACCTTTCCGCCATCTTCTTTTTTCTCCTTCGGGAAGAACTCTCTTAGGGTGATCCTGTAGGCGATGTCCACACCTATCCAGACTAGAAACACTTGGTTAGGGATGCAGAGGAAAGCACAGAGCAGGGAGACCCGGAGAGCGATGACCTCGCTGAGATACTTGAGGAGGCCCAAAACTTGTGGTCCGAAACGGAAGACGAAGAAGGTGACTGCAAGAAAAATGAGGAAAAACCTGTTAACAAACTCTGCCATTTGTGTTAAATTTTTAGCACACATTTAGCAAAATAAACAAATAAATAGACGGTCAAATAGATGGATAAATGAATAGGTAAATAAATATACATGTATGCATATATGATTGAATATATTAGATACAAAGGTGGACAAATCGTCCATGCCAAAATTGTCGCTGGACACAGTGCAAAGTACACACAATTGAATTATCAGTCAATATCTAGTGAAAAAGAAATCAAATTGTCCTGGTAGAGTGAACTGAACCGAGTTACCAAAACTGACAGAGGTGTATGATGGTGAAACTTAAATTCCAGTGAACTCTGAAACTCAGGGTATTAACGTTAGTCCAGCGTCATTATAACGTAATAACCATATAACGTTTATTTAACAAAAACGTTATGGTAACGTTATAAAACGTTTTGTGTTTGCTGGGAGGAACAGAACAAAACAATACGGTAACTGAAGCTAAATCACATTCAACTTGATATAAAAAATGCTCAACGTACAAAAATAGAAATGATTCATCCCTTTATAGAGACTGGACTTCTTGCTGTGGCCTAGCATGGTGATCAGCTTACGGCCATGGAGGGCCACGTTGGACAGTTCACACAGGTAGTTCCAGGCCCCGTAACCGCTACAGCCGCATTCAAAGTACGCGTACGTCACGAAGAAGGTGATCTAGAATAAGACACATGGGGATGTTTGTCATTTTTTTATAAAAAATTTGTTTGAAGGCGCAGGTACACGTACACGCGCATTTTGAAACACACGTGTTAACATGCAAATACGCACAGACCCATATACACGCATACGCACATACGCGAAAGCACAGGCATACTGTACACTCTCATACCAGAGACGCACCTACAGCGGTTGGTTCCCAATATAAATCACCGTATGTACCTAGGATTAACACCTACGTACACACACGCACACGCCGTCTGCCTCCTTTTAGATACAAATATACATAATGATACCATCACAAGGGGTTATATATGGGTTATACATGGCAAAAAAAGCCGCAGGTTCGCTCATATACACAAACAAGTACGCACACACAAGGGTTGCCAATACTCACCACGGCGTGGTTTGTAGAACATGCGTGCATACACACACACGAGCTCGCGCACGCGCAAGCTAGCACACACACACACACACACACACACACACACACTTTCTATACTCACCACCACGTGGTGTAGATACATATCCCAGGAGCCTATATTCTCAGTGGCCAAAAACATGTCGAAGAAGTCGTAGACAAAATAACCTGAAATATACAGAAAATGCATTTCAGTGATATTCTATGAATTTGCTGGAGTCCATTACTCGTAGTTGCAAAGGGGCACTGAAATGGTTTGTATATATTATCAGTATGTGTTTGCTTGAACTGTGACTGAGGCATGTGACCTCTTAGATTAGGGTGCTACTGGAAATGACTACCCTTGGTTCTAGATTTCAGTATTGCCAGCTCGATCATATATAGCCCACAGCAGCAGCGCTAAATTAAGCTACCACATGAAAAGGTATATGTTAGCAAGCTAGCTTTTATAGTGTCCTGACACTCAGGGCAAAAATGACAGATATAAAGTGATAATAAAATAATGGAGGCAAGTTTCTAGTGAACCCTGAAACTCAGAGTGAATTTTATTTCACACATTCAGGTAACTCTTAATTTAGGCTTATGCAGATTTCCCTTTTACTGAAATCTGTAGTTTGCATCAGTTAGTTGGTGACAGTTCTTAGATTTATGTAATATATTGTAAAGGGTAAATGAAATTTAATGCCTTATGTCTAAAATATATGCCCGGCTAGACAAATATTGTGGTAGAAAATTTAGTAATTAAAGGTACATACGAACCGAGCATCGGGGGAGCGTGGATTCCCAGTAACACATGTAAACCACTTCTACTAGATTCTTATATGACTCAAATAAATTTGACATGCCAAGGGATAAACTGAATAGATCACTCGACCAGCCATAAAAGACCTTTAGACTGTTCCTTTCTTTAAATTTATGGTTGCAAATTAAACCTACTTCCGTGACCTACTTTCTTGCCCCATTGACATACACCTTAGAATGCCAGCGGAAAAATCTGTTCAAACATCATTTTCGGGTAAAATTAAACAATGCCTTTTGGTAATTCTCTTAGTTATAATACTTGAAACTATATGCTGGCATTTGGTTGGTTTTTGTGACAAAAAATTGACTTTGTATGTATCTTTAAGTAATGTTGGTCGACTTGTGAATCTTACCCACCCACAGAGAAGCAGTGGACGTAGAAGGCCTCGGGACGGTCTTGCATAAATTCCGTCTCTGTGAGAACCCTACAAAGACGAGAACGATATCCATATACATTATTTCACTTTAGAATAAATAAATAAATAAATAAATAGATCCTTCTTTATTCTTGCTCAAAACTACATATGCGGGTTGGCGACCAATAGTACGAGCCTCCCTTAATTTCAACAGAAGGGAATAACTGCATGAAGTATTGTTTAAAAATCATTAAAAATCACCAATTCTACAACTTGTGTTGACAAAAAATCAGACCTTGCTCCAGTTCATGATTGCTCGAAACTTAAAACGATAAGTCACCATTTAAACACTGATTTTCTATCAGCTAATAAGTACAATCAATAAATAGCCGTTGAAAACTTCATATCTATACACTGATGAGTAAATCCAGTAAAATTATATAGGAGTTGGGGCCATAGTCTTAGATTAGCCTCATAATAATCACACACCTTATGATATCTGCAGTTATTAATTTAGTAATATTTCGAATTGAGATGTCCGGAGGTTAGTTATAACTGATAATAACTCAAGGAGCGCAGTAATCACGCGCAGCCTTAAAGGTGAATTAACATTCATTGACGACTCAACTTCGGGCAATGCTATTTCATCGGGCTGGGTGCTGATATTTCTATTCATGAGAAGCCAATCTAATCCCTGTCCAATTTTTTGGAAAAAAACTTCAATTAGAAACAATATTCCGAATGGGCTACCCTGAGCCCCAGGGGTTACTGGAGCCCCACTTCTGTTATTATTGTCAGCAGGCTTTTGTTGTATACATGTATATACTGATGACAGGTTGAGTTTGCAGTGACCTTTGAAATTTAGGGTATTATTAGAAACGACAGAGATGCTGATAATAGAAATTAAGTCTCTATAGATAGTGGCCTCTCAAACGCAGGATGCTACTGGAAACGGCAAAGTCCTTTTTAGAAAAGAAGCAAATCTCCTGGGACTTCTATATGACTCAGGGTGTTGACTATAAATGGCAGAGGAGTTCTGATAATATAAAGGTTATTCCCACTGAGCTGTGAAACGCAGGGTGTTATTACTAGAAACGACAGAGATGCTGTTCCTAGAAGAAATTAAGGCCCCGTTCACATGACAAGTCTATTTTCTAAAAATCTATTTTCTATTCGCGGTATCTTGTGATCACAGTCTGTGCCCTGAATACCCCGCGGCGAAATTACTGGCAGCGCGAGCCAGCTACTTCCAAAGCTGTAATTAATTCTCGGCTGCGCTCGGAGTGATCACAAGATACCGCGAAAAGAAAATAGATTTTTAGAAAATAGATTTTTCATGTGAACGGAGTCTAATAAGTCTCCAGTGGCCTTTGAACGCAGGATGTTACTGGAAACGGCAGAGGCATGTTTATAATAGATAATCTTCAGTCACCTGTGAAACGCAGGGTGTAGGCATAAGTAGAAATGGCAGAGGCGGGCTGATAAAGGTGATCTCCAGTGCCTTTTGCAACGCAGTTTATATCATGTTTATAATAGATGAAATTAAATCTAAAAATTAAAATCTGAACTCTGAAACGCGGGGGGGGGGGGGGGGGGGGGGGGTTGATAGGCCTAATGNAGCCTACATCACCTATCTCATTGATGTCACAATAGCAAATTGAAGGAGCGGTTCGTTTCTCCACACTTATACTTAAATGCATTCCAAGCAAAATTATATTTTTGTCTAAATGTCCCGAAAACCTCTTATCAAACATAAAAAGCGATATGCCCTCTAAAATAAAATTTTATCTGAAGCGTACCTGGCATTGATATTTCCCTACATGATTCGTTTAGAAAACAAATATTTATTCAGAAATGGTGCAAAATATCAGACCCAAGTGCAGGAACTGTTCGAACAATGATATGTGAGTAGGAGAAATTCCTATTTTTTCACCGGAAAAATTCAATTTAGTGCTAAAATCTCTTACGGAATATCTTTCGGAATCTGCGTACGGTCTGTCTACCAGAGTTACATATGATTTTTTCCACTGTATATTCACAGATATGTCCCTAGCTAGTTTATGACACGATTTTCTTGAGAAAAAGTGCATATAATTAATCTACGGCCCTGGCAGAGAGTAGGTACTGTACGTGGAATCATGTTAAAATGTACTAAGATAAATATATGAGAAGATAAAAAAAAAACGGCTTACACGTAGAGCGCAAAGCAGCCTGATATCAGAGCGTGAGACCATGACGTCGCGTAGCTCTTCCAGCGTTGGGGTATAGTCGCACAAATCGCCGGCGTCCCGAAATACTTAATCAAAGTGCTTAATGTCAAAAAGAAAAGAAAAGAACATGGTGGTATCGTTGTCACTGCTTTCCATCTCCAATCTACGATGTTTTCTGCTTCGTCCATTGTTGATTAAAAGTTTGTTCAACCCCAATAAATAGTCTGTTAGGTCTAAAGCAAAGATCTGTCCATAAATTATTGGGCAACCACTCTGTGTGGTGTCGTTCTCCTCAGTGTATGGTCACCTTGCGGACCTCTGGCGCAAATAATTCAGTCCATGGATTCGCCGTGCATTATTCAGTTAGAAAGTAGCCCCACGCAGAAAACCACACCGAAGAACACTGAACAGAATTTTTTTCCAAAAATAATCACGGTTGTGACGACGGCGTCTTTTTTTGCTGCACTGGACGGGCAAAGCCGCTTTTTGAGAGTTTCAAGTCGTTCTGTCCTACTCTAGCTATTGTTCAGGTTAGGCTTGAGGCTAAGAGTGACAGAGTTCAGGAACAATCTATGTTTATTTACAAGATCAGCCATCCCAAGTTTAAATGCTGTCTTAGTGCACGCAGCTCTGGGCATAGTCCGAGAGCACCGTCACGTTCTCAGACCGTTGGCGAGCTCAAGTCATCGTGAGAATTTTGGATAGTAGATCAAAGTCTTTGTTGTGACTTATTGTCAATACTTTTTTTATCTTACTAGTTAAATATGTAGACAAGTAATTAATTTGGTGCATAGCTTACTAGACCAAATATGAATTCGAAAAAAATAGGACTTAATTGTTTTGTGGGAGTCCTCAGGCCGTTTTCGTTTTTCTCCGATAAAATCATACTTTTTTGTGGTGTTTATCTTTACAAGATCGTGTAAAACTAAAAGAAGATAAGACTTTGATTTTGCAATAAAATTTTTATTCCTCAAAGAAAATAATGTTTCAAAAAGGGCAGAGAACAACCCTAGTTAGGCCTACTGTCTGATCCAGAACGTTCGAGCCACGTCACAGGTATATTTTGTTTACAAGATGAGATGCAAAGTCCAACTTTGATGTGATAACTTGATTATGATGGGGTCATAACTTTTAGTATTAATTATAACAAGGTGCCTGGGTTTAAGGTTTAAGTGCAACGCACCCCTCGACTGATAGGCCCTAGGCCTAGCTACTGGTATTTAAGTCCAGATCTCTCTCTCTCTCTCTCTCTCTCTCTCTCTCTCTCTCTCTCTCTCTCTCTGCCCTTGAAAGGTAGAAAGAAAAAGAAAGAAAAATCCATTCAAATGACACGGCGAAGAAATATGGTGCGTGTGATGCGTTCTCATTAATTTTCTCCATAATTTTGTCTGCTCATAGGAGCAAAATGTTGAAGAAGTCAACCACAGCTTGTGTTTGTGGCGTCAGGAACTTCTGGGCTCAGTCGAAAGCAGCACAGTTATTTTGAGGAGTCATAGCAGTAGGCCCTATATCGTCTTAATTCTCTCTCTCTCTCTCTCTCTCTCTCTCTCTCTCCTTTGAACTTTGAACGATAGAAAGAATGAAAGAAATATCGCGTTAAAAGCCATTCAAAGACACGGCGGAAAAAAAACATAGGTGCATGCGTTCTCATTAATTTCGTCTGCTCACACACGCAAATGTTGAAGCAGTCAACCACAATTTGTGGTGTTAGGGACTGATGCGCTCAGTCTAAAGAAATATAGGCCTGCCACCACAGTTATTTTGTGGAGTTGGGCCTAAAGGCTACCAGATCGTCTTTCTCTCTCTCTCTATCTCTCTCTCTTACCTGCCATTTGAACTTAGAAGGATAGAAAGAATAAAAGAAAAATCACAGTTAAACCCAGTCAAATGACATGGCGTGGGAATATGGTGCATGCGTTCTCATTAATTTTCCTCTTCAAATTCGTCTGCACATGTTAACAGAAGCCACAGTAGGCCTAAGTTAATTATCAAACACGCAATTTGTATCTGTCTGTGGTTTGGGGGGACTTATGTCACATATTGGCTCAGCCAATATGTGAAAAACAGTGGAAAGCAGTAGAGTTATCTTTGAGGTGTTATACCATCTCTCTCTCTCTCTCTCTCTCTCTGGCTGTCTTCTCCCCTCCTCCCCCCCTCCTCAAACCTTCGTGCCACATATACAAATGTCACGCAGCTTGCGAGACTTCGCGTGACTTCAATCCATCATGGCGGAACAAGTCGTACGCAAAACTTGAATGAAGCAGAAAATTTATTATAACTCACCAGTGCAATATACTTTAGAGATCTGCATGGGCTTTATCCATCGCAGATGATGAATTATATGATCAGGAAGCTCAGGTATGTTGAGTGCCCTTTAATTTTAAGAAACAAAGTGGCTGAACTTTGAGCTGGACCATTTTTGTCGACTACCATACACCCTTTACATCACAAGTTTAGTACTGCGATGCCAAAAATAACCTGTCTGATTTTTCTTTCGAATGAAATAACTCTGTCTTCAAAGAATTATGTTTTATGAATAATTTATTATGTGTGGCAATGTCAGTTAATGTTTTCGGACACGATAATGAAATTGGGGAGTATTTTATGACATAAAAAACGTAAATGTTATCGACGTGTTGTGTTGACATTTGTTCATTGATGACGTTGTCTTGTTGTACTGTATGATATTGAAAGGTTAGCGCCCCTCCCCCATCCCTTCATGTAAAAACACGTATCTCTTCAGTAAGAAATAGCATTTAACAGAATAATATTAAAAAGTGCAGTGTATATATATATATATATACATACTAGCACGAAAATTCATGCGTAAGCACTCCTATTGACAATTCTGATATATGTACTGGCTGTGCTAACACACAGTGTGCTAACACAAGGTCAATAGGAGTGCTAACGTATGAATTTTCGTGCTAATATACATACAAGCATATACTGTAACTCGCCAAAATATTTTACTATTTTATTGTTAAATTAATGGAAAAAAATCATCTTGATATAGATAAGGTTTAGATAGGAGTCGTGCAATGATAAATACCCTTTCCTTGTCTTTAAGATTTTTAATCCTATTTCAATCTTTAGTTGAACATTTCATGAAATTGTAATCTCTTCTTGTCGGGAAATTGCTAAAAGAGGAAAATAATTCCTTTTTATTTGTACTTTAAAAATTAAATTTAATGTTAACTTTGGCATAATAAAGAATCAAACTAACCTGTTGCTGTGTTTGGAAGATAAGATGAAGATCGTTGTATCAAAGTAGGTACCACTGGCGAGGAGTTGTCAAGGCTTCCCCCCCCTCCCCTCCCTGAACTCATTCTCTTATCTCTGCATGTCCTTTAATTCAGCCTATTCCAAATAATTGTTCACATCTTGAAGCTACAATGTAACCATCTTTTTGCCTTACATATTGCTGCAAAATTATCATCATCACCTACTCTATATTTGCCTTCCTTTGTTCAGCAGAGAGATTTTGCACAAGTTTGTCTCTTCATCTTTCTCCTCTCTCTCACTTGTGCCTCCCCCTCCCCCACACACACACACATGCACACGCACATGCACACACACACACACACACATACACACACACACACACACACACATACACATACACATACACACACACACACACACACACACATCTGGTATAGGAGTATAAAGATATGCATGTCTGCTGTATAGTTTTCTAGTGTAACCGATTTCTTACCAAAATATTTGTCTTTAAATTTCAGCATGAAGACACCAGTATGAGTTTCCCTGACTACAGTCAGAAAGCAGAGGACCACCAGTCCATACTGATACTGGTTAAACTGGTCGGTGCTGAATTAAAACCCAAGTCTTTTGGTCGTGTCTATGACAGGATCAGTCGTGTAGAGTGTGTACATGTCCCGAACCAGCAAAGGACAGTTTGGATGCGCTATAAGAGCCAATATCCAATAGAGAATAATGAGTGGGGTGATTTTCAGGCACACCGAAAGGTAACTGAAGGCGCATTCATGTTGAAGTTGTGACAGCTCAACTTACTGCTGTTCCGTCTTAAACGATTTTGATTTTTGTATCAAACCATTGCCTTTGAAGGCATTTCTAGTACAGTAATGTTGTGATGGTTCAATATAGCACCTTTCTTTTCCAGCAGACTTTATGCTTATTATAAATAACCATTTTCCATTGAAGTGCATTTCCATTCAAGTTATGATGGCTCAACTTAATGCCTTTTTATCAGTCAACGTATGATAATGATATGATAATCATGTCTTATATTTAAAATATATTAACAAAATCAGCTGGGAGGATAATTTTTGTAAAAAGTGAAAAAAAAAAAAACAACACTTTTTTACCTGTCAGTCATCAGTTTTTTTTTTTTTTTTTTTTTTTTACCTCCTGTATTTTACTTTGTACAGGTTCTGGGTCTGCTTTGTATTGGGAAAGCAAGAACCACCGAGGAAATGGAGGATATTTACCAAACCTACGAGGACGAAAAAACCGCATACAGTTCCACAATGTATGACTCCAGACTTGTTGTCTTTGGGATGAACACAGATGGTTCTCCCAGCATGCAACAGTCTGACCCCAGTGACCCCACACTGCTGACATCTGTTGGTGGGGAGGGGAGTGATAAACAGGGATCTACTAGTACTAATACCGTGGCAGCTGAAACTAAAGACGCCAATAGCGAATCGGACAAAGAAAATGCTCACACTCCTGATGGAGATCTCGAAATTAAGAGTGGAGATCTTGAGACTAGAAATGGAGATCTTGTAACTAAAGCTGGGGAACTTGAAATTAAAGATGGAGATCTCAAAACAAAAAATGGCGATATTCAAATAAAGGACCCTTTACGATATGAACCAGAAGAGACGACTGCGATATCAAAAATTGACTCCATTAGTGAAAAATTAGTCAAATCAGACGTAAATTCCTCGGAAAAGATGGAGGAAAAGAAATCGGGTATGGTACCCGGTGGTCAGTTGGCGGTCAAGAAAGGTCAGCCAAACAGTGACTCTCCCTTACAGCAGAAAAAACAGGGTCACCTATCACCCAGTGGTCAGTCTACTCCGGCCAGTGGGTCACCGTCAGGGTCAAGACGGAGTAGCAGCAGGGGGAAGGACCCCAAGTCACATATATGGTTCTACGCTGATATTGACAAGTGTCCAGATTTGGAGGAAAAGGTATTGTGATGATAGATTGGGTCTGTTTAAATTTTGTACATAGTGTTTGTCCATTTATTTAAAGTAATATAGTACAGCTGAAATTAGTACCTACTAGAAGTCATATATTTTAGTGAATGTGAACTGGCTCAAATTGGATTGCATTTCTAAGCTTGAAATGATCTCTACAAAAAAAAAGAGCATTATTATTCACCAATAAATTCACATTATTTGCCTTAAATCAGAAGTTCAGTCCAGATTTTGAAAAAGGGAGTCTAAATTCATTTTCTTGCTAGTTATGTAAAAGACCATCAGATTTCCATATGCTCAAATAACAAAAATCTGATAAAAATGGTCCTTCAGAATCGAAATAATGGAGTCAAAAAGACAGCTGGGCTGTTGTAGGAAGCCTACCTTAAATCTCGTCTTATTCTCACATATTCTAGGTGAAGGAATTTGTAATGACCTTGTTCTGGGTTTTGGAGGGGAAAAGGCTCGACAGGTCCTTCGAAAAGAAGATGCAGCTGATCTCCGCGCCGTTTGAAAAGAAGGACATGGTGGGAGTGGACGTGGAAAACAAGTAGGTCCTCTGGTTTCAGATTGATAACTCAAGGTATCCTGCCAAATTGAATTTTCTTCGATAAAAAATCAATTTTCGCCTTGTCAGGAAACAGTGCTCGACCCACCCCTGCATATTAATTTTTTGTTTTCAATAGTATGCATGTAAGATACAATATGGTATATCATTTAAATGTATGATAAGATGCCTTTTATGCCTGATTTAATGACTGTAAATGAGAACAAGAATTGAACAACAACAACAACAACAACAACAAAAAAAAACAAAGGTAGGAAATCATAATCAATAAGGTGTTTTCAAAATGAGCATGTGTTTTTCGCAGTTCTTGTCTAAATTTAGCGGAATTTAGATCAAGGACGGTGAAGTATAGGTTATCATGTTGACAGTTGCATTTAAGATGTTAGACACTTTCAAAAGACTGGTCTTAGATTAAGACAGAGATAGTACTTCATTTTAATAGTTGACTTTTTAATATTTACCCTGAATTGATAAAGGAAACAACAAATTTTGAATCTTATAGTCGTTAGTTCTTTAGTGAACCCACACTCTAGTTTATTTATTGTAGATGTAACATTTTTAACCTTTCCTAAAATTTTCATAAAAATGCATTCAGAACTTATTCCTTAATGAGGCTAACAAGCATAGAAACAGACAAACCAATTTTGACGAAAACATATTCTCCTAAGAAGATGTGATTAAGCCAGACATCTTCTAGTATTCAGCATAATTGTATCTTAACTGAATGCATGGAGTGTTTTCCTTGTTGTGCATTTTGTACTCTGTTTATGAAACTTGTAGGATACTGTCTTGTAATTGTTTAGATATTTGTTTGTTTGTTAAATTAATAACTCCTTAAAGTCTTCCGTTGATACATGTCACTGCTTCTGTCACAGAACTTTTTTTGTTTGTTGTGTGCTGATTTATTTATTTTTTTTTTTTGTCACTTTTCTGCTATAATTGTGAAAAAAGACCCCATTACAGGATTGACCCAGAAATTGGAAAGTCAAAAACAGGTTTATAAATTGTAGTTTTGTCAATGGTTCTGGATAAGGTATGCCTTGCTTGTCAAGGGAAAAGTTTAAAAATTACCAAGTTGAAGTTGTTTTTTTTTTTTTTGCTTCATAAAGATCATGTATATGCTCTTTGCACAGCTTTTAAAATACTTGAATAATTTTATAAAATGTTGCTTAACGTGACTTTACATAACAGCCAGTGATTATGGAATAACAGATTTTAAATAGCCTGTTGATAAGGCATATCATTTGATTGAAATTGCCCTTTTACCAATAAAGGATTAGTTTCAATAATTGAACTGATATACAATTTGAATAGGAAAATTTATGTATTTTGTTGATGTTGTGTGATAACAAGCTAATTTTTGAAAAATGATTTTAGCCCTCATGTATATTATTTATTACTGCATTAATTTTTATGTATTATTTGATTGGATTTATATATTATTTGATCATTGTGTTTTAACATCAATTGCATTTTATCGGTGTGATATTATTAGGGGGTTGCTGTGACCTAATTTGAGAAGTTTGACCTATTTATCATCCACTTTTAATCAGGCCCACTCCTCAACGAGCGGAATCCAAGAAAAAACTCTTTTTCCTGGAACGTGCTGTTTCCACTGACAAATCAGATCTTGTGGCTCACATGGTGGATACCCAGAAGTATGTTGTCACATGACTTAATGTAGCCAATCAAAACCCTTGTATCTTTAGATTGAAGCTTTAGAAAATTATAACTAATTTTTGTGACCAATAAGCTGACTTGTTTCTTAGAAATCATCCAATCACATTAAATTTTTATGCATAGAAGGAAAAGGCATTGTAATCAACCTGTCAGTTGGCTAATTGTTTTTTGAATAATTTGACCTTTGGATTTGCTTTTAGATGATATAGATATGCTGATACTTATCAAAGCCCAAGCTTTCTACATCAAACTTTTAAAAAATACAATAGATATCTTAAAGTATTATCTTATAATATTGACATGCCCTATATGATATTTACATCAAATGAATTTGGCTAATTTGTTTTAATTCCTACTTCATGGTGAAGGGACATGGTAATATCTATATTCTTACTTTTAACTTATCATTTAATTCCCCCCCCCCCCCCCCGGCCTTTGCCTCCCAATTGTCTGACCTCTTCCTCTTGATATGTTAGTGGAATCTATAAATCTATATTTCTGATGATGTAGGGTAGCTGACTGAATCTCTCGTTTGTAACAAAAATCTGTTAGTCTTTGCTGTTTTTCTCTTTGTTTTTGCTATAGCTGTTGTGATCATATTGTTCTGTTTTTTTGTTTTGCTTCTTGAGCAGCATGTATTTGATGCATGGGGCAGTAACCAAGTTAATGCTTATATATTATGCATGCATGTTTTTACAATTAATTTTTTACACTACATATATTCAGTAGCACATTTATGCTCCAATTTGGTAAATAGTCTCATTGGATCCATAAATAGTAATGCTGAAAAATACTCCTTGTAATTGGATCCATAAGATAAAACTGACAGCTTTCGGATGTGACCACATGGTCTTATCTGTAGTGTTTCACATTAGGGCAGCACACTTTATTGGATCAATCCACTCTGGGTGGGCCTTACATGTGATAAGCTTTAAGGGTTTTTATACTCCCTTTTGCAAGTTCGACGTGTTTGCTGTTTTCTTATTAATTTTGTTAAATTAGAATTGGTTGTCAATGGCTCTGTTCTCACAACTTTTAGATCGATCTATCACCGCGGGGAGTCTCACTAGATTACTGTCAGATAATCCCCCTTAAGTGTCCGTCCCCGCCTACTACAAGCTTTAAGGGGTAATTAACTTTCGTGTCCGCCCGGCTGACAGCTATTTAGCGTGAACCCCCAGGGAGTTAGGTCGATCCAATGTAAGTCGATCTAATCTATGAGAATGGGGTGTATGACTTATTAATATCTCAAAGTAGACTGGTCCCATTAAGTGTGCTGGCAGTGTGAAAAGGACCCTATAACTTTATTTTTTTCATTTTGTATGTTTAAAATAGCATAAGACCACAATTCACTATTTACATATAGGGCAGCACATAGCACAAATATTCCTGATATTTGTTCTGCACATTCTGTTCATTGGCCTATATTGCAAAATGGCAAAGCAATGCATTGCAATGTTATTTATTTTAGACAACACAGGTCAATCTGATATTCAGACACATAACTCACCTGGTTATTGCTACGCTTTTTGTCAATATTGCTATTGAAATATGCATAAAAGCATATAACAAATAGCATACTGGTTGGCTTAGTGCATTTTGGCATACTCCAGTAATCAGCCTAGCAAAATAGTAACAGGGGTCTATTTTACAAGAAGATACATATAATATTATGCTCCTCTCACATGAAACAGAACAGTTTTCTTTATTGCTCCAAGTTGACTTGCTGTAATAACATGTTTTTAATGGTTGCATTCACAACCCAAGTTGATCCGCAGACTAGTTGATCTGCAGATCAAACATGGCTGACCCACTTGAAAGCTTACTGCATAATTCCCTGTGGGAAATCTGGAAAGTGCCTATTAGAGGATTATGCGGTAAACTTTCAGTGGTCAGATATATTCGATCCGCAGATCCATTCGTCCGCAGGTCAACTTGCTCTGAATGAGCCAAAAACTGGGTAAGTATAATTAATGCACTTAACTGGCCATGTCTGGAAGTGGGACAGGGTTCTGTTAATATGACCCTGTTGTGTAATATCCGAGTTGACTCTCTCTCAGAATGGCGAGATACAGAAAAAACTGTGCTGTTAAATGTGACAAGGGGCATAGTTAACACCCTAAACCGACTGAGGACTGGAATTAGTTTAGAATTTAATGGTTTTGGAGACGAAAAATGTTCTGCCAGACACCTACTATATGATAACAGATAGTTGTAACACTTTTGACTAGTGACTTAGAAATACAATTATTAATATAATGGTTCTGGATGTTAAATGCAATTACATTGGTCATTTGGTCAGCTGATATATTAATATAATTTAGTGCAGTAGACTTGGAAGAACTCGACATCTTTTTACTTGAATATTTTTGATTATCTATGATTAATGATGTGGAGTAGATTTTTTTTCCATTTGGTACCAGATGAAACTTATAAGTGTTATTGTTGAGTCTACTGTATGTCCGTAACACACAAATAACCACAAAGGAGAACTAATTAACTTGCAGATTTTAGAAATTAATAAATATAACTTTCTCTGGTCATCAGAGGACCATGTGTATGTCAAAATTTTCCCCATTTAAAAGTGCCCAATGTTCAAATGCAGCATTTGGTTTCCAGGGTGTATCGTAAACGGTGTCAGGGACGGCTGAGGAAGCACCTGGGTGATCTGTGTCTGTTGGCGGGTGTCCCCGGGGAGGCCATCCTCCACTACAGCACTGCCCTGGACATCCTCAAGTCTGCCAATGACTGGCTGTGGCTGGCAGGTGAGCTGGTTTGGGAATATGTGATGTAATGATGCATTTAACTCAACTGAATGTCTCTTATACCCCATTCCCAGATATTAGATCAATCTACTTTAGATCGAACTAACTCCCTGGGGGTTCACGCTAAATAGCTGTCAGCTGAGCGGACAGGAAAGTTAATTACCCCCTTACAGCTTGTAGTAGGCGGGACCGACATTTAAGCCGGATTATCTAACAGTAATCTAGTGAGACTCCCTGCAGGGATAGATCGATCTAAAAGCTCTGGGAATACTGCCATAGTCTTCTTAAATCTATAGTTGAAAGATTCATTATAATAACTGCTTAAATGTAGATCTATGCTCTGCAGCATTTATGCATCCAAATGTCTCATGATCTTCATAAATCTATTAAAATGTTTTGTTGAAGCTGCATATGAGGGTTAGGTGTATTTTAAATGATGTACTCTGCTCTGAACTTAATGTTCAGTAATATTCATGAATCTATATTAAAACATTCTATCAAAGCTGCCTATAAGGGCCTGTGTTCTGCCTCAATCATCATCATGTACTCTGGTATACACATAATCTCTTGTAATCTTCATAATTTTATAGTAAAATAATTAAATATTTCATCATAGCTGCCTATGAGGGCCTGTGTTCTGCCTCAGTGATCATCATGTACCCCAGAGAGGAGAGACAAAGTTTTCAGAGGAATTATTCCTGGTCCACTAAGAGGGGCAGCTCTATGATGCAGGAGGCAAAACAAAGAAGTAGTAAGTGAAAAAAATTAGTTTTATTGGAATTCTGTAAATTGTTAAATTGAAAAATAACTATTAACCTGCAAAAAATGATAAGTGTTGAACTTTGGATTCTTACTTTTGAAAACTTGCAAATGGTTTTGACATGATACTGGTTGCTTCATATAACACCATAATGTCAGTGAGCAAAAATCAACCAACCAGTTGTGAACAAGTCTGGATGGGATCTACATAAAACAGGATTTCAAAAAGGAAAGGATCTAATCATCAAAGAATACATTTTCAATATAAGAGAAATTGTTATAGTAAGTTGATGAGAGTGGGGCACATTGATTTAGAACTATTTTTTGATACCAAGAAAATAATTGGTTACTTATAACACGTATACTTGTAAAGACCTAATTACTGAGTACCATACTTTTAATGTGCCAGGCGCCCAACAGAATCGTAATCAGAATGGCCTTGACCTTGCCAGAGTGAGAATCAAAAACTGTCTTATGGGGGATGATATCATTGAAAAATACAAGGAGGCGATTATGCACTACAGCAAGGTATAGTATGAGTATTAAGAATTGATTGCTTGAGTTATCAAAAAAAAAAGAAAAATAATGAAAATAATATAAAAAATGAGATTCTAGTTTTTGTCACTCTTATTATGGAGACTGGTAAATTTTCACTAATGATGGTAAAAAGTTGAAGTTCTACCATCAGCTGACTCCCATTCCAAGATTACATGAGATGCGCACGCATATCTACCCAGAATGCAATTAGCGCTGCATAATGGTTACCCAGAGCAGCGAACGATTTTTGCTGATGCAAAATCGCGTTTTTTCTTATTAATTTCCTATCATATGGTCCTTTTCTGCGGCGAAGGACATTGCCTTACTGATGCGGTTAGCATTTGCAATTTATGCCGAAACTGTGTCTCTTAATTTTGAGGCTCTCGTGCGCGGGAAGTTAATCTCGTTCTTCGACTCCAAGTTCTGGCTGAGTCACGTGGAAGTAGTTTTTTCTTTGTCATGGAAAAAATGAGCAACAAGCAATTTAATTTAGCGGAGACTGTGTTTCAGTCCGATGCCGAAAAAGCTAAAGCTAAAGCCAAAAAGGCCTCGGCCGCTCGTGTAGCGCCAAACAATCCAAAAACTGACAAAATGTCGGCAAGTAAAGATGGGAAAAGTGCAGTAGCAGATAACGCTTTGTCCTGTTCGTCGGCGTCACGCACGTCGGCTACCAATGCAACGCATGATGATGATGATGATGAGGCGTGTTTTACAGCACCTGCAATGAAGAGAGGCGCTGAAAGTGCTCTCTGTTTTGATTCCAACTCCATGGCTAAGAGAAGTCGCATTGATAGCGAATTTTCCAATGCGCCATTTGATGAATTTGGAGATCATACGGAGGCAGGTGAAAATTATGATATAGACATGCAACTTGATAAATTGCTTGACCCTGATGATGAAGGGGATATTCAGCAGCAGGAGGATGAACTGTTAGCTGAGTTAGAGAAGGAATTCCTTGCCCCTGATGAAGAAGTGGGGCCTGCTATTCAGGCAAAGTTCGGGGAGCTTATTAACAATATGTTTACATCTCCCATGTCAGATGAAAAAGTGAAAGCGTTGTCAGAAAAATGTCTGAGACCTGAGAATTGTCCCAATATCTGCAACGCCCGTGTGAATCAAGAAATTTGGGATGTTATGAACACCTCAGCCCGCATTACTGACATTGCAGTGAGCAAAATTGGGGCAAGGATGGTGAAGAGCGTCTTGCCCATTGTACAGGTTGTAGATCAACTCTATCAAGCAAGAGCCGAGGGGAAAAATGCTGATATACCCCGTGCCATACGTGGTTGTATGGACTCTCTGGCACTGATGGGCAGTGCTGTGCATGAACTGAATTTGCATCGCAGAAATTCTATTAAAAAGGACTTACCACCCAGAGCGCAGAGAGTGGCTTCTAAGGTCAAGGACGAGTCTAGTCTCCTATTTGGTACAGAGTTGCAGAAAAATCTTAAAGAATTGGCTGAAGGCGAAAAATTGGGTCTTGGGGGACCTAAGAAAATTCGTTCCAGTTTTGCTAAGAACCCTTCGCATGCTTTTGGCTCATTACAGCAACAGGCACGTGGCCGTGGTTTCCAGGGTTATAGCAGGCTTTACTACCCTAGACAGATGTCGGGGGAAGGCAGGTGGGGTGCCGCGGGGTGGACCCAGCAGCAGCGCCCCCACTACCAACAGGGTCCCTACAGCACGTACAATTACAAAAAGCAAACTTACAAAACAGGAAGCCAAAACCAAGGCAGAAAGGACAAAAATCAGCAAAAGAAATAGAAATTGTAAGTAAATTTGATGAATTTATGAGATTAGCAGAGGCTAGATCTTTAGAGGCAGTGAATAACTTCAAAGCTGGTCGGTTGAGGGAATATTTTGACTTCTGGAGAACAATGACTTCTGATGCTCATATCCTTTCATGTATTAAAGGGGTGGCATTAGAATTCAATGATATGCCAGTGCAGCAAGCTGTCCCTAAGCCTTACAGATTTGATGAAACTAAATCCAGGCTTATTGACCAGCAAATTCAAATTATGTTGAGCAAAAGCATTATTCAACCCGCCCAACATTCTTCGGGTGAGTTCATATCAAATATATTTACCAGGGACAAAAAAGATGGTGGTATCAGAGTCATTCTAGATCTGACAGAGTTGAACAAATTTATTCAGTATCATCATTTCAAGATGGATACTTTTCAGACAGCTTTAGATTTAATTTTCCCTAATTGCTACATGGCATCGATTGATTGGAAGGATGCTTATTTCTCAGTGCCCATAAGAAATGAAGATCGAAAGTACTTGAGATTTGTTTGGAATTCAAACCTCTATCAGTTCACTTGTCTGCCTAACGGTCTAGCCTCTGCTCCAAGAATCTTTACTAAAATCACAAAGGTTATGTTTGCTGAACTTAGAAAGAAAGGTTTTCTTTGCTCTTCATATATTGATGACTCGTTTTTGGTTGGTGACAAGGAAGAATGTGAAGAGAATGTTATGATCACTTTTGAATATTCTGAGAAGTCTGGCTGGGTTACTCACCCAGTCAAGTCACGATTTAAACCAGCACAACAAAGAACTTTCTTAGGCTTTATTATTAATTCAGTCCTAATGAATGTTACCTTGACCCCAGATAGAATTCAAAAAATGATCACACGTATCTCTAAGATTATAGATGATAATGGTAGAGTCACTATACGTGCATTAGCAGAGGTTATTGGACTAATGGTGGCTAGTTTCCAGGCAGTTGAATTTGGGAAACTTTATTATCGTAGGTGTGATAATTTTAAATCACTGGTATTGCAACAGCACGCAGGGAACTACAATGCCAGGGTTGTTCTCCCTCAAAGATGTATGATAGATCTTGGTTGGTGGAGGGATAACATCACTACTGCCTCAGCTCCCATTAGGAGGTCCACCCCTGATGTGGTCTTGACCTCTGATGCTTCTACAGTGGGCTGGGGTGGTACCTGTCATGGACAGTCCACTGGTGGGAATTGGACGGTGGAGGAGCAGAAAAAGCATATTAATGAACTTGAACTCAAGGCAGCTTACTTTACCATAAAAGCTTTCTGTTCACAATTTACTAACAGACACATACTCATTAGAATTGATAACACCACTGCAGTAGTCTATATTAACAATATGGGAGGCAAGAAAGATCATTGTAATGAGGTAGCTAGAGAATTGTGGCTATGGTGCATTAACAGGTCTCTTTTTGTTACAGCAGCTTACCTGCCAGGAGCTCAAAACATCGAGGCAGATGCAGAGAGTAGAACATACCATGACAATGGTGAGTGGGAGCTGGATAGAAATATTTTTCTAAAAATCTGCAGACTTTGGGGCAAACCTGAGATTGATTTGTTTGCATCAAGAATTAACAATAAAGTGAAAGTTTACTACTCATGGAAACCAGATCCAGATTGTATGGAGGTGGATGCATTTACAGTTTCTTGGGCCCATAAATTTGTTTATGCCTTCCCACCTTTTTGCATGATGGGCAAAGTTTTACAAAAAATGAAAGTGGAAGGTGTGACAGGTATTATTATTTTTCCCTTATGGCCTACTCAGCACTGGTATTCCTTGCTTGGTTCAATGCTTATTGATTTTCCTGTTTCTCTCTTTCACAGGGACAGGTCAGTATCGGTCATTCATCACCCTCTCTTGAATGCCCAAGATCACCTTCCCAAGATCAGGCTTGCAGCAGCACTTGTTTCTGGCAGACGCCAGGCACAGCAGAACTTTCAGAGACAGCTCAGCGGATTATCGAGGCCTCATGGCGTGATGGCACCAAAAAACAGTATAACTGTTACTTCAAACAGTGGTTTTCCTTTTGTAGTCAGAGGGATTGGAATCCCTTTCATGCCTCTGTAAAATCTGCTGTAGAATTTCTCACTGAGTTGTCAGAGAGGGGTTTGCAGTATTCTGCACTGAACACTGCCAGGAGCACCTTGTCAGCTTTTCTTACCATCGGGGATTCACCTTTGGGAGAACACCCGCTGATTTGCAGATTCATGAAAGGTATCTTCAATCTTAAACCACCTATTCCTAAAACTAAGGTTATTTGGGATGCCACTGTTGTTTTGAATTTTTTGAGAGCATGGTCACCAGTAAAGAATTTGTCTCTAAAACAGTTGACACTGAAAGTGGTTATGTTATTTGGACTTTTGGCAGGTCAGAGGGGGCAGTCCCTTCATCTTATGGATACAAGGAACATTGATCTTAATAAGCATCGGGTGAAAGTTTCTTTTGGCGATCTTTTGAAAACCTCTCGTCCAGGGTATCACCAAACACAAATCACAGTGCCAGCATATGCTCCGGATCGCAGATTGTGCATATGTGTAACATTGACGGAGTACTTAAAGCGTACATGTCCACTCAGAGACAAGTACACTGCACTATTCATCAGCTACATGAAACCACACAAACCAGTCTCAAGGGATACGTTGTCGAGGTGGGTGAAGTGTGTCCTAAAAATGGCTGGTATTGATACTTGTGTATTTACACCACACAGTGTGCGAGCTGCAGCTACTTCGGCTGCAAAAGCAGCAAATGTACCTTTGCAGACGATCTTAGATACGGCAGGTTGGAGCAAAAAGGATACGTTTGCTCGTTACTATGAGAAGAAAATTGATAAAAGTGGATTATTTGGTTCAAAAATTTTGAATAAAACAAAGTAATGGTTTCAGGGCAGAAAAATAATGACATGGCAAATGTGTAATTGTGGCCTAGATTGTGTTAAAGAAAGGACTTTCTTAGTACTGTATAAATGTTTGGTACATACACTTCAAATTAGGGTTAACGTGTTCAAATTTAAAGTTGGCTCCCTCAGTTTAAGGAGCAAGTTTATTATGTAGTTAAACAGTTCATGTTGTTAAAAAGGTTCATTTGTTAAAAGTTATTATTAAAGTTAATATATTTAATTTGTGAGTTATCGGCTTATTGATTTTTTCCAATTCATTTCAAGCAGGGTACTACTGTTGTACTACTCCTCAGTTGTGGAATTGGTGTTTATTGGTACAACTTTAAACCCTCATGTAATCTTGGAATGGGAGTCAGCTGATGGTAGAATTCAAAAATTAAACGAAACTTACCTGTAAGTTGAAGTTTGATGAGAATTCTACTTATCAGCTGACGAAATGGAGAGATTACATGCCCACCTCTAGCCCTCCCAAATCTCTCCATTTCTTTTTCCCTTGTACCAATAAACAAGCTTTAAATTTTGCATTCTGGGTAGATATGCGTGCGCATCTCATGTAATCTCTCCATTTCGTCAGCTGATAAGTAGAATTCTCATCAAACTTCAACTTACAGGTAAGTTTCGTTTAATTTTTGAATTTTAACTTAAAAGAGCTCTAAAAAAGGTTCATAGCTTGTTATTTCCTAAGCATAATTAAATAAGGTACACTATGTTGGTGAAAGGGAGTGGGATTGCTGACATTTTCAAAAAAAAAATTTTTTTTAGCTTTACAAATTTAAAGGTCCAAAAATTAACAGTTCTTGTGTACTTGTTACCAATAACTTAATCTGGCTGTGTTTTATCTTCTCAGCTACCTCCAGTTTAGTCATATGGAAAGATGGACATTTCTTCTCTCTAGATCTGTAAATAGTAACATCATTATTAACCTCTCCACATTTCAGTTCAAGAATGTGGGTATTGTTGAGATGGAAGCCAGTATTAAAGCCTGCAGAGTGCTGATCATGCAAGGGGTACGTGAACACACACGCAAATACAGGTTTGCATGTATCCATGCACGCATTCATGCATGCTCAAATGCACACTCGTCCATGTATCAGTTATCATCACACACACATGCACTCGTGTTTGTGCACACACCCCCTATACACACACACACACACACACACACACACACACACACACACACACTGTCACAGGCTATCCAATACTGACTAAACAGTTGTTTAGTTCTATTGGAGTGGGTTCAGAAAAGAACCACACTGAAATATGGTCTGGGCATCAAGACAGAACATTTTGATCTAGATAAGTTTAGTTTAAACAAAGTCCACAGTATTCTTCTAATTTAGACTAAATATTGGTATAAGATGCCAGTTTCTAAAAACCAGTGACAATATTTAAATCAAGCAGACTATGATTGATTTATCTTAGGGTAAAATTATTGGAAATTTTTGGTCAAAAAGTTTGGACCAAATAGTAACAGTAAATCTAAAGCCTGTCATGTAACACTACCTGGACTAACTCAAGAATAACCACTTATAGTGATAAGTGTTCAGATTGAGCTATGCCCTGTATTATGTCATGAAAATGAATGAGAGAACAGAAATCAGTTTCCATTGATGGTGAGGTTGACTGTGCACTCTGCCTCAGCTGACTGAGCATGAAGCTTGCATTCTCTCATTGGCCCATGTGCTTTGTACTCCCTATCACCATGGAGTCTCCTAGGTAACAGATGTCAAAAAGAGCCAATAGGTGTTCTCTGATTAGTCTATTTGTTTAGTGTTATTCTCATCACCTTGGAGTCTCCCAGGTAACAGATGTCAAAAAGATCTAAAAGGTGATCTTTGATTGGTCCATTTGCCTAGTACTTATCATCACCTTGGAGTCTCCTAGGTAACAGATGTCAAAAAGAGTCAATAGATGTTCTCTGATTGGTCCATTCACATACTAGTAGTTGTTCTACTGACCTTGAAGTCTCTAAAGTAACAGAAGTCAGGAATGTAAAAATTCAAAGTCATCAGCTGAAGAGAGGAAAAGGAGCACTTTATTTCAAGATTGGGGTTAAAATAGACGTAACTTTACCAGACAATATCTGAATGGGATGGTGTGAAAGCAAGACATTTGATATTAAAAACAAAAACATTACTGCTAAGAATGGACCAACACACATATTTAGTTTGAGCAGAGAATTTTAACTGACTATGGCAGAAGAAAGGCCAGAAGACATTTGCTTCAATTCTTTATTCATGAAGTGTGACACAACAAAGCTGAGGGAAAATGGAAATGTGTCCAACCTTATTGCTGATAAATTCAAGCAGGCAATAAGAAATGATATCAAAATTTGTGAAGATTCATCAGCCGTAGTCTTGGAAGACCTTTCACCAAATGAAAAAAATTTTGTAATCTCTGACCAATGTCTGTCAGTGCCAAACTGTGAACCCAAACTGGACTTGACTCGTCTAGACAAACTAGCAGACACCATCGAGAATGACAGCAGGAGAGTTTCCGTGCCGTACACACTTATTTCCCATCATCCTGCATTGCATATGGAGGCCTATCAACCAATCCACGAGATTGTCCATGAGCGCGTGATAGCGTGGAAAAATGCATTGCATGAAGAGCTGTTGCGACAAGTAGCTCTAGGAAACGAAAAATGTTTCAAGGAGGCACAACTCTACAGGAAAGATATTCAGACCATATACCAACAATTTGAAATTGCGTGTTCGAAGAAACTGAGCATGTGTAAAAAGAGGCTGTGTACTTTCTTCGATCTGCATAAGCTCCAACTTATTAATCGAACAATAAAGGAGTTGGACCTGGAGATACCCGACCCTACAACAACAAATGGAGACTTTGCATTGAGTGCTCGCTGCAAGTGCCAAGAATGCTCCATAGGTGATGATCACAACCAAGAAAAGCCCATCAAGGCTGGAACAAGTAATGATGTTAAAAGTACAATAGATGGCAGGAAATGTCAAGAAAAGCCAGATCCAGATCTTGGTGAAATTGCCCACAGTTTTATGACAGGTTTGAATAACTGTAAATCACATAAAAGAAAGATGCCTGTCACTTTTGAAAAAGATATTAAAATGACAGGGGGTTCAAAGGGTGACTGCCTTTCTGAAACACCAAAAGGCACAATGGTAAGGCGTCAAAGTAAGCGTACACAAAAATATTGGGCCAGGAGACCACGTTGCAGAAGAAAGTTAGAGAAAGGTATTAACAAGAAAAGTGGCAAAGCAAAAATGTTGTTTTATGATTCAGCAGAGTCAGTTGAGCACCTGAAATTTTCAGATGGACTCAAGTCTGAGAAATGTAACTCTCAACATTCGATTGGTGAGCAAAGTTTACCTAGAAGATCAAAGCTGAGAAAAATTGATGTATTATCAAGATCACAAGGATACAACACTGATTCATCCAAAGATGGTACAGCAGTCAAAACTATAGATGGAGTCACTCACCAAGACAATACCAATGGTCATTCAGCCTTAATTGGTTATGCAAATGGTACAGAAGATGTCCACAAAGTTTTCCGTCCAGTGCCACTAAGACCTTACCATCTCCCACTACAGTGGCCATTCCCTCAACACCATTTGGTTAAAAACAATTTTGCATTAAGCTGCCATGGAGAAAACACCATTCCTCAATTCTTATCAGCTTCAATGGATCCTATACCATTTCATACATATCCTGTGCCATGGAGCTTGTATGCCACTTCAGATAACTCACTGTCCTCACGCCTTCAATAACATACTGTAGAGGGCGTTGGGCACTGGAAAAAGACAATACTACAGAGGGCATGGTTGCTGAAATAAACCAGTCATTTTTTAAGTCATACTAATCTTTTCTTGGTGTAGTATTTATTTGGGCAGGGTGATATAAATGAAAATTTCATAAATGTTTTAAATATTGAAAGCTATATGGGAAAAACACCTCTTTGAAATGTTGGTTTCTTGGAAGAAACTTAAAGAATGAAATTGTACATTTTCACTTGAATTGGCTGCTTTATAGACATTGCTGTATTTAGGTTATTGAAACTTTAGCATATTGAAACAAGTTTTATGGAGAAAGAAGGAAATGGAAACAATTATATGGAGACTAATTGCCAATGAATGGAGGTGGTCAGTTTACATTTTTACCATCTCAGAATTTTTAGAATTATTTGATTTTATATATTCAATTGTTGTTGAAAATATGAACAGATGCCACTTTTTCATGATTAAACAAAAGCTTTTAGTGATAGATGAATAATTTGACTTATAATGAGTTGATATGGAATGATTTTAATAAATGATAGGGATACTAGAAGATATAAAAGTTGTACAATTTTTATGTACTGTAATCTAGACAACAAGAGTTGCTGTAGTAGACCTTTTAACTGTAGCCATGGTAAGTTGTATTAAAGATCTGAATAATGTCAAGACATTTAAAGGTGTACAGTGGTTTCTCTTGAAATAAGAAATTTTTCATATTTTTGATATGTATTACAAGAAGACAATTTTAATTTGATCTTAATTAGTATTATTGTCTTTGTAGAAAAATCTGCAGGCTTCAGAGTTTCTTCAGAATGTGGTGTATATAAACCTACAGATGTCAGAGGAAGAAAAGGTCAGTTCAAGGTCAAAGGTTGCAAGGTCAAAGGTCAACATTTTAGGTCAATGTTGAAAGTTGTTTGAAAAGGGGAGCTTTCTGTGCCAAAATTTTATATATTCTGCCATCTTTTAAGTTTGTCAACACTTTGTAGGCTTCTATTTTACCACTTTTCTCAAAAGCATTTTAATGATATGAGCCAGAAAAACTAGTTATCAACATTATTTTCTCTTAAATATGAAGTTGAAGTCAGCTCCACATATATGTTACTTTGTGTTTTTTTTACAGTATTTGAATTCAGTATATTTGAACAACATGAATGATTTAGTTGTAATAATTCAAGGTTTTTAGTATGTTTGATTTGTAAAAACTCATACCCTATTTGTTATTGTCTGAAAAGTCCAAAGCGCAAAATCTTGACAGCGAACTTATTAGAAAAAGTGAGAATTTTGACAACTGAAGATAGTTTCTGACACTTGAATGCTGTTAAATCTTCCAGGTCCTCCGGTACAGTACCCTGGCCAATCTATACGAACAAATCAATTTCCACAGAAAGGCAGCCTTCTTCAAGCGAGTTGCTGCCATGCAGAGTGTCGCTCCGACCGTGCCAAATCCTTCGTGGGAACGCTGTCATCAGCTTCTGATGCAGTCTTTGAAAGGATACAGTATTACATTGGACTACAGAGAGAGGGTCCAAGGTTGGTGTTATATCAGTTGGCAGTGTGGTTTCTTTTGTTGTACATTTTCTGTCTCTCTTTGTGTGTGTGTGTGTGTGTGTGTGTGTTTCTTTGTGTTTGTTTCTTTGTGTGTGTGTGTTTACGTGTGTTTGTTGTAATGAAGAACTGAAAAAGATTTCCCTTACTGTAACTAACACATTGAGAAGCCATTATATGAATTACAGTGTTGTCTGAATATGAATTCTTTTAAGCACAAAGTATTTCTCATATTTTTGTAAAAAGCATGATGTAAAGAACTTCATTCTCTCTCTTTGTGGCATTTAGGCCACAGTTGAAAGTACCCAGAAAAAAAAATTCTGTAATATTCCCATAATTTCAGGAGAGGCTGTGGGATGGCCTATCGTTCAGTCCCGGGTACTGCATGAGGTGGTGTACTGCGCCAGGAAACTGGGGAATGTGCCTCTGATTATAAGGTACAGGAGGGGGAGATACAGGGTGGGCCAGAAAACTGGGGAATGTGCCTCTGATTATAAGGTACAGGAGGGGGGAGATACAGGGTGGGCCAGAAAACTGGGGAATGTGCCTCTGATTATAAGGTACAGGAGGGGGGAGATACAGGGTGGGCCAGAAAACTGGGGAATGTGCCTCTGATTATAAGGTACAGGAGGGGGGAGATACAGGGTGGGCCAGAAAACTGGGGAATGTGCCTCTGATTATAAGGTACAGGAGGGGGGAGATACAGGGTGGGCCAGAAAACTGGGGAATGTGCCTCTGATTATAAGGTACAGGAGGGGGGAGATACAGGGTGGGCCAGAAAACTGGGGAATGTGCCTCTGATTATAAGGTACAGGAGGGGGGAGATACAGGGTGGGCCAGAAAACTGGGGAATGTGCCTCTGATTATAAGGTACAGGAGGGGGGAGATACAGGGTGGGCCAGAAAACTGGGGAATGTGCCTCTGATTATAAGGTACAGGAGGGGGGAGATACAGGGTGGGCCAGAAAACTGGGGAATGTGCCTCTGATTATAAGGTACAGGAGGGGGGAGATACAGGGTGGGCCAGAAAACTGGGGAATGTGCCTCTGATTATAAGGTACAGGAGGGGGGAGATACAGGGTGGGCCAGAAAACTGGGGAATGTGCCTCTGATTATAAGGTACAGGAGGGGGGAGATACAGGGTGGGCCAGAAAACTGGGGAATGTGCCTCTGATTATAAGGTACAGGAGGGGGGAGATACAGGGTGGGCCAGAAAACTGGGGAATGTGCCTCTGATTATAAGGTACAGGAGGGGGGAGATACAGGGTGGGCCAGAAAACTGGGGAATGTGCCTCTGATTATAAGGTACAGGAGGGGGGAGATACAGGGTGG